CATGCCGGCTCCCTGCAGGAGAAATAAATGGAGTCGGCTTTCAGGCTGGCACACTCTCCTTAGTAAAAAATAAGAAAGACACAGATTGTCCTGTTCTGTCTACTGGAGAAAATGTGTCTTGATCTAGGAAAGCAGAGCACATATTTCAGAGGAGGTCCTTGTCACACTCTGCTTCACAAATCACGGGGCCTTTCCCAGGGCAGGGGTGCGGAAGGGGTCAAAAGGGGAAAAAAGCAAGCTTTGCATACGGAAAAAGACTGATGACAGAATTCACTTCCAGGGATGCGGGGGTGGGGATAAACTTGCTCTTTTTTTGTGTGTGTTTTAAGGTGTTCTTTCATGGATATAGAGGAAGGAAAATGGCTCTGGCTACCTCCATTTCAAAGCCACATATGTGCGGTGTGAGGAAGCACCTGGTACTTATGAACAACACAGCAGGCAAAAATATTTGGTTCTGTTTTCCCATTGTCATCTCTCTCTCAGATTTTTTTTCCTGTCCCTCCCTTTGTGTCCTTGTCAGGATTGACAAGCATCCGTGTGTTACCAAGTAACATGAAGTTCTTGCTTGAATAATCCTGCTGAAAATCCGGGGTATTTCACAGCGCATTATTGACTCAGAGAACCACCCACTAGAGTGAATTCTTCTGATTAACGTTGATTGACAGCATCCTTGAGGTGCTGTTTTTTATACCAAACGGTCAGGTCTACCGATGCCCCTGCTTCAGCTCGGACACTGGCGTCTTTGTCCCCGAGCTCTTAAGATGTGGGTTATAGTCAGGAAGGTTTCTCTCATTGAGGATACAGACAAACTGTGCTCAAGTAAAACAAAACAACACAAAACGAAGGGAAACAAATAATAAAACCAAAAACCCTCAGCAATTGACAAGAAGAGAAACTAGCAGGGATTGCTTTCTCTTTTCTTTCCATCTCTATTATTCATCAGCCTTCGGGGCTGCAATTGGTTGTAATATGGCAGAGCTCATGCCATACTTAGAATGAACAGGAGGATATTTTACATAAGCAACGAAATCGTGCTTGCCCCTCAGTGTGTGCAGAGGTCATTGAAAAGCCTGTAGCAACCTGTGGTGGAAATAACCAACGGTTCCTTCTGTCAAGGCAGGCTGAACAAGAGACCCCTATTCCCATTTCTTCTCCTTGGTCCTAAACTGAATCCAGAAATGCCCCCATGAAAGGGTTAAAAACTGCACCCTGCTTGGAAACTGGAAGGAGACTGAAGGCTTCCCTGGGAACACTATCTGCACAGTGAGCCCCCGGTTTGTAACTAGGTAGGCACTAAGTTCTTCACAGGAGTGGCTTCACAAATTATTTCTTCTACATACTAACTAAATGCTTGGTGAAGTCCTTGACTGTTTCCTGTGCAATGAAATTCCCTACCTCCTCCTCTTCTTCCTTCTTCTATATTAGCCACTTCCTTATTGTCTGTTTGGTTTTTGATTTTGTTTTGTTTGGTGGGTTGGATTTTTTGTTTTGTTTAAGTTTGAAAGAGGACTTCTCCGTGTAGCTTTGAACCTGTCCTGGAACTTATTGTATGGATTTTAAGAAGAGAACAGAACTGTTATAGCTTCCCCACCCAGAGTCAAGCAAGCATTCACGGCTCCATCTTCAATTAGGCACACACGTGTATTTAGCCACTGAGCAACCTAACAAAATGGAAGGTATCACACTAAAAACTGACAGAGAATACAGGTCTGGTGAGTTATTTATGATTTTTGGAATATCTCTTTTCCAAGGGGAAAACATAACGCTTCCCAGAGTAGTTCCGCAGTGCTTTCTTAAAGGATTGAGATATTATTAGCTGAATGCGCAACTAGGCTTTGTGAAGAATCTCTAAGAAGCTGTTTTGCAAACAGTTCCCATGAAACTGTTGCGATCAATGAACAATTTCTCAGAAAGGCTTGAATTTTTATAGCACCTATGTTTACTATTTGTTCCTGTGAGATATGGAATTCTAATACATATGTGTGCTTTATTCACAAAACACATGGCGACCTAGATGCGAAATGTCCCCTGTGACTTCTTATTTTCAGCACCTTGGATGCCAAAAAATTCCAAGTGCATTTGGTTCCTGTGACACTGTTCAATGGGCCATCATCTCTGCTCCAGCTTGCTTTGCCATTAGTGTGGCCAGTACTCTCTGTTGAGACCTGTCTCTTCATCTGAAGCTTGCAGCTGTGATCAAACTACCCATCAGTCTGTAGGTTTTATACTGTGCTTCGTTCCCTTAATCACGTGTGTGTGCTCAAGCATCATGGCTGTGTGTATACCATGTGTGTGCACCCTCTACAGTCACCAAGACGCTGGACAGTTTCATGTAGGTACAGCCTTGGATTCAGTTCCAGCTATATCATTTATATTAAAGTGGAATCTGAAATTGTCATCATTTTTCGCTGCCCTTATATCCTCCGGGGAAGAAATGACAATTTCTATAGGCCAACATATTCCAAGTTAGTTTAGCAACACTCATATTGTCTTGGATCCTCTCACGTTCATAAGCAGCTTTATGGCAACCACGAAAGGCCGCCCCATGACCTCATCTCTCTTAAAGTTTTTAATTTTGTCACACACTTCTGATCTCATTTTGACTATTGTTTACATGATTTTCTATAACTGGAGTTTCCTAATCTTCAAATCCCCAACTTTTCTCACTCGCTCAAAAACACAAACAAAAACAAAACAAAAAGACATCTACTTATTTGTGCATGGTATAAAAACCTGAATTGTACACCATCACCTATAGATGGTTATTACTAGGTTTCCATGTGCGCCCTGTCGCCCACTGTATACTTTGAAAGTAGAGACTGTGAAGCCCATTCCACACAGCGCTGGTTGAGAACAATGCCATGATGGCTTCGATGCTTTGGAGGAAGGACGGTGGAGATGGCAATGACAACGTAATGCCGTTCTGGTGAGGATGTCACAAACGTGGTCCAGTACATCTTGTGAAAAGCAATGTGTCTTGGTTTTCACTTTATAAAACTGTCATTCTTCATTAGTAGGAAAAAAAAAGTTATGGTAAATTATTAGTGTGTAATGTCCTGCCAAACAATTATATTAGGACAGTCTTGGTGAGAAAAATGTGACTATCAGGTCATTGGAGCCAAGTTAGGACACACATGGTGTGTCTTTTATGTCACGCGTTTGTTGTCTCTCTACAGACGGACTCTGCAGTTGTCCTTTTATCAATGTCTTCCTCAAAGACAAAAATACGTATAACTCAGATACAAAATGGGCTCCATACTGCCCAATGGGCAAAAAGAGTCTAAGGACAGCAACAAGTCACCTCTAAAATGTCACCACATTCAGAGAAATAAACAGGGTCCTAAAGATACCATGTGTTTCACTATGGTCACACCATGTAAGTTAATTCTTCCTCGAGAATGGGGATTGAGGTTTGGGCTGTACTGAAAGGGTTAATTCTACTGCTTCTCCTGAAGTGGAAGATGACTGTTGGATTAGATGGTAGGATAGAGAAGTTTGTGTAAAATAAAAATATAATGTCTATACTTCTGATGTTCCTGCATCGCTAAGAACGCAAGGCTTGTCATACTGCCTATTTTAAGGCCCAAATGCAGACAAGGCCGAAACTGCACCATTTTCTCATCAGATAAACGTACGTTTTTAAAAACCCTATATTCTTTGATCTTCCCATACCTTCTCTTATAGTCGTCATATTATGTCTCTGTCCATAAAGATTTTTTGAAAAAAAAAAATTCAGTAGAGTACAATTAGTCCCTAAAATAAAGGCATCACTCAAGGAAGAAAGGAGAAGGAGGGATCCAATTAAAATGACGAAAATCTTTCATTTTTATTTAGGTATACTTGTACGGACATGTGTATATACAAATACAGATCATATGGGTTTGCGTGTGTGTGTTTTAATTTTTTTTTTTACATTTTCTGTTATGTTTATATAATGTCGGCATTTCAAAACAGCACTCCATGAGGAAGTGCAAAGGACTGCGAAGCAGGGAGCACAAGCACAGGGCCACATGGAGCTGGACGTCACACCCAGACGCACACACAATGAGTGGCTTCAATGGGGTGTCAAGGGTAAGCATGGAAAACGGATTCTGACTCATGGGTAACCTCCAACATGCCAGCATCTATTAAACTGTACAAACAATGGGAGTGAGGCCATTGTAGGGAGATTTGTCTCACATCCGAGCAGCTCTGGGGTAAAGGCATGGGAAGAAGTCAGTGATGCCAAACCAGAGACAGACCTGCCCATTCACGGCTCTGGGGGTGGGAAACAGAAGGTGGGAAGAAGGCAACAGAAAAAAAAGGAGAAAGTGGAGGGGGGGCAGGCAAACGGGGGTGTCGGTGGAGGTGGTTTTCAAAAGAGGAGCTGGTGACCACAACTCTGAGAGCAATGAATAGAAAAGGAGGAGTTTAAAACGATTTTTTTTCTAATTTTGTGGAAATTAATAAAAATGGCTGCAGCCGTTGCTAAGGCACAGGAGAAGAACAGAGTCCCTGAAAGCCCACAGGTACTGCGACTCTTCCTTACACAGGACACACAGAGAGAAAGAACCCCAATGAGCCTTCCTATAGGGACTGGTCTGCAACCATCCTGAGTCTGAGCCGTACTAGATACTGACAAGACTTGCTGGGGGTGGAAGGGGGGATGATGACAAACAGAAAACCAAACCAAAATACAGAACCATTTCTAAGTTCTCTAAACCTTTTCAAACCACATGCTTGGGGTGGGGGAAAAGGACCACAGAGCTCCGACATCAGACCTTGAAAGCACTGAGGACAAAGTATCAATCGAAGCAGTCCTGTTTTTTTTTTTTTTCTGGTCCCAAGACGATGGAGCGGTAAGATTGAGTGGGCAATGACCACGCGAGTCCAGCATGGAGCAGTGTTCCAGTCACGTGTGACTTCTCAGCCATGTATACATTGGATGTTTTCGAAAGCCTCAATGCATGTTTTGTATCCTGAAAGTCTACTGTTTTTCTCAGTTACAAAAGACATAAGAATCAAATTAATACTTTATTATCAAACACTATATACAACAGAGGTTGCTAATAATACAGAATTAAAGAACGCAATTTTTTTTTAACATTTTAACTTTTCTTTCCTCTGCCACCCAAGAAAGTACAGTACAAAACAATAGTCTAAAACTAACACGGACTGTTACCTGGTCTATTAAAGGATACACAGTATCCACTAAACAGCCAGATCTTTATTCCCTGCTTCATGTTGCAAAGCCCTTGGCAACCAGGGGCGAAGGTCGCTGGGGTTTGACCAACTGGGGCTGAAGGGGCACTCCAGGGCTTCCCTTCATGCTTTTGAATTGTTTTTAAAATTAAACCCACTACCAAGATGCACCGACATCCTAAGCCCACAGAGGACTGTAACAATACCACAAAAGGCCACCAGCGCTTTTTGGACAAGATAAAAACGGCCTGACACCAATTGTCTCGAGAACTCCACACAAGGGCATTAGCTACGATTATGTCACTTACACGTAGAAAAGCATATGGTCTACTGGTGTGGAGAGTTCCGATTTAAAACCAAAAAAATCTTAACCTGCGGTGGCATGACTGTGAAGTAAAAGGGTCTAATTGCACAGTGAAAAATGAAAGACAATGGCAGAGAGGGCCATGAGTAATTATTTCATCATTTGTTAGAGACAACTGCTAGAAGAAGCACAGAATTCACCTTTTCTAAAATGACATTAGAACTGCTAACGTCGTTAGGACTAACTGGAATTATTACAAGATCACTTTGTTCCCTTGACTGTAGTACATGCAGAAATTATCGTGGTTCTATCGATCCATCTTAGAAGGGATTTCTTTTTCGTCCCCTTACTGAAATCCCACTAACCCATAAACCTGTAACTATTAATAAAAAGAATATATCTGGATATTACTGAGAGTGTCGAGCCTATAAATAAAGGGAAATCCAATGCTTTGAAGTCTGGCTTCAGTGAAATGGTGGGTGCCTTCTATGATGAGACTCTCCCGCTCCGGAGAAGTCTCAGATGTAGGGGGAAGAAGACTGACAATATCTTTGAGGCCGGCAACTCCACGCACATGGTTCAAGCAAGAGCAGACTCCAGTTGACTCCACTCCAAAGGGACCAGGTAAGCCCGGCTCACATTCCAACGTGTGTGAACTCTCTAGGGTGCAGTATGTTCCCAGCTGCCTTCCACTCACATATTCTTCTAATTTGAAACTACTCACGAGTCTAAGCAATTTCCGATTTCATGAAGTTCATCTAGAATGTGAACTCTTTGTTTTTTTTTTTTTTTACATATACATCTTAAAAACGAATATATAAAAATTCCTTCTTCTCCTGGAACGTTTTCAATTTTCCACATGACATGATCATTGCATTTACTGACTTGCTTGTTTATAAAGGCATGGCTTCTGTTGATGTCGTGCAATGGCAGAACAAGGTTAGACCACCTTTCCACTGGGCTGACACTTTTCCCTGGCTAGGCTTTGGGGTTGAAAGCTCATGAGAGCCCGCCAGGAGAAACCCCGTAGCTTGTGTTTCCTGATAAGTAGCTGGGACCATCCCCTTGGCCATGCTAAGGTTCTTTGAGCAGGGTCATTCCGTGTTCATTCTCCTTCTGCCCCAACCCTACTATGAAACAAGATAACCCGCCCCCCCTCCCACGTTTCTAAATGTATCAAGGGATACCACCTTTTCTCACAAGTTTAAATAGGACAAGCATATATACTCACTCTCAGCATAAAGTATATCTAAATAATGTATTTTCTATTCTAGTGGATTTTTAAAAAAATATTTTGTCAAAGTCTTTGGGACTCCATCTTGTTTATCTCCCACAGATAAACACGTGTTCCCCCTATGCTTTTAGGCTGTGTCAGAAAGGGAAAGACGAGAAAAATCAACACTTGAATTTTTATTCCAAACTTTGGAATTTTTATTCCAAATTTCCCTTTAAGCCCTCCCAAGTAGTGCTGACTGACTCTCCTGGTGACAGGGGTTTGTGTCTGAGTCCCCTGTGAACGCGGAGCTTGGAGCAGAACGTGGGCATCGGGGTGGGGGTTGGGGAAAGGCCACAGCACACTGGAGCTCCAGCAAAGCCAAACCGCATCTCCTCGGGCCACAGACTTCCTTTCCTTGTACACGTTGTCCCCAGAGGGGCAGGCAAAGCTATTCTACTCTCTACTCATCAACCCTGGCTTGTCAGCCTCGGGGAAGGTCACTTTATTCATAAAAATGCCTCTTTGAGCTCCTAAAAAGAAAAAGAAAAGTTGTAGCACCATGGTGATCTGTATTCAAAGGGAAAAAAAAATCAGGTGTGCACTACCCAGTCACTAAAAAGTTAGAGGCACTCACACCACCAGCAATAGATCGTTTTCTCAATATACACATCTCCTGCATTACCATCCCTGCATCCAACACTCCTTCAGGGAGAAAAAGCTTCTTGGGCACAGCACAAGTTTTGCTGGCAAGAACGCTTTAAGACAGTCCTATTTGATAAAAACAAAAACTAGTATCTGAACCTTGGAGAAGCCTGCTCATTTCTACACTTCTAGAGGGTATGGTGTCATCGTATGTCTACTCTTTATTCCGCCCCTCCGGACCTGACACACCAACATCACGCTCCACACAACCACCTTACTGTCCTGAATGAGAAGGCGTTCAGTACTGGATAGGAGAGAGATACCCTCTCGGCCTGGCCACGCTCCTTCCTTGTCTGCATACCGTTGACACCCTGAGCTTACAGAGGTGAGTCCGCGAGGAGAACCCACTGGTGTCGCTACAACGATTTGGCATTTTCATCTGGAGTCCATTGAATTTGGAAGGGGTGAGAGAAGTCAAGGACCAGGGCTGGGGATGGGGTGGGGTGAAGGAGGGCAGTGACGCGTTTAGCCCCCAACAACCCCAGGTTGTTGCTCAGAAATCAGGCTGAAGGAAAGAAAAACAAAAACAACAACAACAAAAAAAATCTGACATCTGCCAAAAAACCAATAACAAGTCCCTTCTTGGGATGAGCAGTTAGGCGGATCTCTGGTGTCCCAAGACCCTGATGTTTTCTGTGACAGGTGATGAGAGGAGGCTGTGCTATAATGTCAAAAGCATCGCCAGGAGGAACAGTAGGATCGCCAAAAGGCGGCTGGGTATCCTTGGGGTCTGTGCCGCGTTCTCACCGCGGGATGGCTCGGCTGACTCATGTACGGTGTCATCTGTTCAAAGAGAAAGCACACATTCCAATGAGATTTCACATCCTTAATAACTCTCTCGCAGCAGCCCGCTGTTAACAGACCTCGCCACCCTCTGCAAAGTAGGGTAATGAACCCTGTGCCACCATTGACTTTCATGTCTGCATAATCGCTCATTATTTACTGCAAACAAAGGAGAGGCAGGGAAAACTGGACTTCCTTCACAATATTTATACCCTCTCTTAAAACCGAGGGGGAAACTGTGCGTGCAGTGTAATATTTGCTGCATAAGCTACTTTGATTTGCTGCTATCGGTTAGATGCGCTTTGCACAGAACTTGAGGTAGGGAAGGGAACTCTAAGTCCGCAGTCCTGCGGGGAGGAAAGCCACGGATTGCGAGGGAAGGGGGAAAGAGTTATGTGGGTATATTAGTGGTTACGCAGACGGGGTTGCTCATTTTCTGTGTTTTAGGCGTTTCACAGGATTAGTGGTGAATGTTTGGTTGTTCGGTGCCTACGTGTACTTTCAAATGTGGAAAATGAAGTGCCAAAACAACAGTATTTTTAAATAAACTATATATAATGCCCAGTAAACATCAGAACTCCTGTGCCCACTGGGCTGCCTACAATTAGGAATCAATTACGGTGCTATTTCCATTACAGGCCCTGCATCTCCCAGATTAAATTACTTGAACTTGACTATTCTTATTTTTATCAGGCTGAAGCTTGGCACATAAATTATCAGTGTGGATGCAAATTTTCCTCTAAATAAAATGGATTAAGTGAGTTAAGCTTCTTTTATTTAGCTATAAAGTGTTCTACGAGGCTGCCTCTGACTTTGGATCGCCTCCCTGATCTGCATGATTAACAGGCTTAACTTCGAAATGGGAACTTTGCAGTAATTAGTGCCCAAAGATAGATTGGAGGCTTGCCCATGAGCCATGCTATTCTCTAATGTGGCCCATCTCCTTCCTCCCATCTGGCCGAGCTTATGCTTTTAGCCCAGATGACCTCTGGACATGTTTCTGGAGCTGACAGTTGGCCTCTGAGCAGATTTCATTTCAGCATCAGGGGGACGTCCCATGGGAAGGCAAGCATTGCTCCTCGGGATTCGCTGACTGGTTAATCAGAGAGAAGAGTAACAAGTGAGACTCCAGTAATTGTTCTCAATTATGTAGACCCCCAGAAGACAGTCCCTAACAGCCCTCACTGACCTACATGGTGTCTCTTAGTAGATTAATTGTCCATTATTTTAACCTCATGTAAGGTCACCGATCACACATGTCATTATTAAGGGTACTTTTTTTTTTCTCCACACAGGAAAGAGTCACACATTCTATTATCTGTCCTAAAGGGAACTTTTTTTTTTTTTTTTTTTTTTTTTTTTTTTTTTTTTTTTTTTTTTTTTTTTTTTGTTTTTTCTTTTTGGAAGTTTCTGTTCATCTCATTCCCATCCCATGTGAACTAAGAAACATGCCTTCTCAGAATTAAGTCTTCTGCCCTAGTGGACTCTTATTTCGGCAGGTCTTCATCTAGGAGCCCCTGAAGTCCTTTGTTTAATTTGTCCTCCTTTCCCGGACTTTAGCAAACCCTGGATAGATTGCTTTCAGCTTAGGAGGCTAGAAAAGGTTAGGAAGCAAGAACGGAGAGGCAAATCCCACACAGTGTAGCCAAGTACGCGTGGGCTCTCATCTTTTCTTTGCTCTTTTCAGCCTTGCTAATGCATTAATTAAATCTGTAGTTAACAGGAGGCAGAAGTAAAGGCCCTTAATAGCCCTGAAATTAAAATCCAAATCACATTCTTAAGAGCACCAATATGGTGTCAATCAAAACAATGGAGCACTTCAGGCTTAATTATAAAAGAACCATAAACCCCGAGGATTCCACAGCTCATTTTGAAACATCACTTATATTTATACACCTGAAATTACATCACCTACTGGGGTTCTTCTCCACCCTTTTCTCAATAACACATTACTCAGTCTTTCACCTTGTGAAGCTTGGAAACAACCTATTGTTAAAAGATACCCAAGCTGCATTGCTGAACTCGGAGCAAGTATGCAGAGCAGGGCTTCCCTGCTTCCCTCTCCTGCCAGAGGCTCAGCAAAGGTCACCCACCAGCCCAGGCTCACTCAGTACAAGGCACAGGGGAAGAACCTTGCAGAAGACCTGACTTTAACAAGAAGGAAGACTTCGGTTTTCTTCTAAGAGAGGCCTAAATTTGGATGCACCTTTCAAACGCTGCATCACAGATAACCTGTGGGGTTAGCCCTTCTGTGAGCTGTGTTGTCTCTTATTTTAATGTCCCATGTATTTACCTACCATACATGTCCTAATAATCTCCCATGTAATCACCTACCATAGATGTGCTAATAAACTCCCGTGTATTCCCCTACCATACATGTCCTAATAACTTCCCATGTAATCACCTACCATACATGTCCTAATAAGGGCACTTTATCTTTCAGGGGAGAATGATGTTTTCCTACGTTTCTCTCGAATGAGAAAGCCCACTGCATGTTTTTGTTCCTATGCCCCGATGTTCACGAGTCAGGGTTCTTTTCTACATGTCGTGCTCTGATTAAAATAGTCGTTGATGGGAAATTCTATGCACCATCACCCCCACCCATACCCCTCACCCAATGGCAGTTACCGAGAAGCTGGAGACCATTTAGATAATTTGGGGGGAAATTTCAGAATTCTAAGTTGAAACTCCTGAGTGAAATCTACCCGAATGGAAATTAAACCTACATGTGAGAGATTACTAAGACTTGCAAAAGTGAGTGCGGCTTGGTGGAAGAGAAAGCTCCTCTGCAGAAGCGAAATGGAGTGTTGCCTTTTAGTTACAGGATCCCACCACACCGGGGGTTTGGTGGTTTAACTGAGAACACTAACGATACTTCGGAGCATGTAACGTGACATATGTCTGCCCTGAGATCATCTTGGGTCCCTACAGATAGGAAACTGGCAGGCAGAGTGCGCAAGCAAACAACAGAAGACGAATGCATTCCACAGACAGGTGAATTAGTACACACGGCTGAGAGCATGCGGTAGGATGCGTTCAGGCTCCCTACGTCTCCAGAGCCTGTATCTAGGGCTGGCCAAAGGAGAACGCTTGTTAAATCCAGCAGTTGCCACAGTGGCGAAGAACGCCAAGTGGGACGGACTAAGTTCTCTACGAAATAAAGAGAAACACTCAACTCTGTTACCACATTCATATTGCCAGGCACTGTGGCTCAACCCCTTCTTATCACACTAGTGAGGATGCCTGCCAGCAATCTCTATACACACACACACACACACACACACACACACACACACACACACACACTCACTCACTAAACTACACTCTGCTAAACTTTCCAAACTTCTCTTGGTAATATGTTCATGGATTTGGGGCCACTACAAATTCCAAGTTCTGTATGAGGAAGAGCTTAGAGACCCCGACATATGCCTATGTAGGAGAGCTTAACATTTCCATTTTATCATTATTCGAGTCCAAAGGTGATTTTCTCAGTAACAGAGTAGTCCTCAGTGTTCTTCTTCATGACCCGAGAACAAAACAAAACAAAACAAAACAAAAACATAAAATCTCTTATGTCTCTAGAGGTGCTGGTCCTCGCTAGAGAGGTGATTGACTTTGCCTAGAAAATACGATCATGGGAAATGCACATCAAAATTCTCATCCTGAGCAAGTTTGTAACAGGCTTAACCTGTGGTTCATTCTATTCATGACTTACTAGAGAAGCTAGGGGAAGTAACGGTTTTTTCTGAACGTCTATACCTCTAGTAGTGGGAAGAGTCTCTTCTATGATCCTGACAAAGGGAGCTAAGGATATGAAGTCTGACAAGCTGAGTGGCCTGGGCTGGCGTCCTCAGCCATGGGAAGAAGGATGTAGGTTCTGTGGTTTTGAAAAAGCTCCTGTTTAACCTGTCCCTATGGTAGTCATGGCCTCAAGCTTGAAGTCTGGTACCTTGAACAGCCACGCTAATGCGTCCAGTTTTTCGAGACAATTAAAATACCTCCACGTCAGCACTCACGTCTTGCTACTTTCTAAAGTGGCGAACTGATCCCTGGGGAGCCACTAAGGCCTCAGAAAGCTCCTAGTACACACCTCCCATTTGTACTCTGAGTGAGATGGCTGCTTTAGAAAAGACCGGAGTGCTTGGGAAACCCCTAACTCTTCCTGGCAGCTAGAGCACTAAAGCCGGTGTCGGTCTGGGGGCACAGCACTTACGCAGGGTACCGCTCCCTAAGGCTCAATCACCGTTATCCCTATGACAACACTCAGAGGATGAGGCGGACTGTAAAGCCCTTTGGTTCCTAGAACCGTAAGAACGATAAGTCCTACTACAAATAAATAAATAGCTAGATACATAAAATCAAGCAGAAACCTTGTTGTTTACATGAGGGGGCTCAGATTTCTTTGTGAGGGGGGAAATGATTTTATTTCTCTTTAGCTCTAAGGTGCTCCCGAGAGATGGACAGAGCACTGTGAGTATCCACCACGTAGGTGGATGACCTAAAGCGAGACAGGGGCTTCCACAGAGCGGTTAGAGGCCTGTTACCCATCACAGAAGGTCTGGTTGCGGTCAACGACCAGATAAAATGTCTAAGCAAAGCAACAGCTTGTCCCAGTTTAAATGACCTACGGTAGGCTGCATGGAAAGTGCTTGCATGAATATTCTTGCAGCCTTTACTTTTTTCACACTGATGGGGAAGTTTGAGCATGAGCCTCATTAGTAGAAGGGAAAAAAAAAAAAAAAAAAACCTCTGTCTTTAAAACTTATTTTGTCTGAGTACTCCAGGATGGCTGCTGGCTCAAGGAGCAGCTGTGTGCATTTGTAGTGGCAGCGGGTACGTGAGTTTGGGGCAGCAGCACAACTGGATGTGTCCAGGCCGACTGCTATTAATAACAGGATAGGTAATACCGAAATGAAATACAATGTTTTAGATGTTTCATTGATGCACATACATTTCTAGAGAGAACTAAAGATGTTGAGTCAGTGTTTTTATGCGGTGGTTTTACTACTTTTATCCACGGATTTGGATATGATTTTTTTTAAAAAAAAAAAAAGAGAGAAAATGTCATAAACATGTACAGTAGAAATATTTTCTGTCTTGTTAGGAAACTGGCCTTCATCACCGTGATCCGCCGACACACCCTGAGGATGCGGCAAAAGGCAGGGAGGTTTTAGTAGTCTGGTAGGGTTTCTATATTAGAATACTGCGTCAAGTGAGTCCCATGTCCAAGAAAGAAAAGTTGTATTCTATCCAGCATGAACTACACAAAGATACTGGAGGAATGAGGTAGGAGATAAGTAACATTAGCAAGCCGCTAGCAATGGGCAAAAGCAGAAACGACTGGCGCATGCACACATGCAGAGAGGAAGAAAGGAAAAACAGGACGGAAGCGTGCAGAGGTAGATGCGTTGGTTAAGGAGAGATTCTCTAAGCATACTAACCTGCTGGTTCTAATGAATTTTCTACTTTGTCGTTAACATCGAAAACACGATCATGAACACCTATAGTTTTCATACAGCTATCTATAACAAAAATAGAGATAACAGCCAAATATGTTAGTGAAGACACCCTCAAACTCCCATTTCTTTTCTTTTCTTTCTCTCTGTTGTTTCCTTTTATTAATGTAGAGATTGTTTTACAATCAATGGCACGTATCCACATGCCAACAGCGTTCCCATTTGCTGTGCATGTACAACAGTCTAAGAAGCAACAAGTTAGCAACTGCTGTGTACTTTTATAAACAAAATAAAAAAAATAAAGCATCATGAAGAATGATGAGGAAAAAATACGATGGAAACTAAAACATGGATGTGGATATACAAAACAGATACCACACAAGATTCAACAGTAAAAAAATAAAAGAATAAAAATAAAATTTTACCGCTGTGAACCAGACCACAGGATAAAGCATGCGCAGTGAAGGGGCCCTCTGGACTCATTCTAGGAACTTACTTGTTGGTCTCACGAAGACTTTGAGCTTTAGGCAGGACCTTCTTCCATTGTCTGGGATTGCAGAGGCTGCGGGGAAGACAAGGAGACAGGGCAAGAGAAAGAGGAGAGAACAACGACCCATTATTCTTCGTTTTTCACATGCAAATAAATGGTCTACGTATACTCTTTCAGGACACGCTCTAATTCTTGTCCCGAAGCTAAAACAAATAATACTTTTCAGCCTAAGACAAATACTGGAGAGAGATGACTCCCATGCTCCCATCTTCTCTTTCCAGTACAATAAAGGAAGAATCATGCAGGAATGTGGTAATCTATAGAAATATGCTCAGGGCTTCTATTTCAAAGGCACTTCCCTTCAACTTGGTCTGCTATCAATTTTCTCTAAATCGGGAGGATAATGCCTGAACTCTCTTGCTCCAGGAACAACTCCTCCTCAACCGCGCGAGAAAGGGCCCAATAAAGCTCCACAGCGAGGAGCGCTGTCGAAACCAGTAACAGACAGTTACGAGGCGGACTTCAACATGACCCACTTCTGCTGGGGAAAGCAGAGCTTTGTCTGTCCTGAAAGCTTGTCTGTCAGTGCTCGGCAGGTAATTCAATTAGAGGTTTTACTCAGAATTTGGCTGCGCTTTCCCTCTGACTAAGCCAGCCCCGCGACTCCACCACGCTATTGTAAGCACAATCTGCTATTGAGAGGGGACGGGGGCTGCAGCGGGTACATCTATCTTCTTTTAATTTTCCGCAGAGAAGGATGGAATTAATAAAGTGAGTTTGCTAAAACACGACAACATGTTTCCAGTTATAAATCACTGAGGAAGAGACCTTTCTTCCCCTCTTCCAGATAAGATCTCCGACTTTGCCTACTTTTTCAGATCATCTCTTCGTAGCACTCACAAAGCAGAGACAGGATTCGGAAGGGTGGCCGGATCCTCCACGACCACATGCTACCAACGCTCTCGAGAAATGACAAAAATCGCAGCAATGAGGGCCACATACTTTCCTCCCCGCGGACTTGCTTCAAGTGGTTTCTTTGTTCGGAAAAGCAGCTGACATCAATCAAAAGGCACATGGCTTAAAATGAGTTTGGGACATGCCGAAAGTGACAAAGAGGCAGCCGGCAGCGCACATGCCTCCTCTCGTCTATCTTCCTCTTCATGGCGAGCTCAAAGACAGTGCTCCATATGAGGTGAGAGGAGTCAAGCTCCGAAGTTCTTCTGCATAAACTTCCTTATTTACAAAGTTACGGATCCTTGCGGATCTCCTGCAGAACCTCCACGTTCGAGTGCTAAGGGACGTCAGACACTAAAGGTTCTCCACTGCCACTATTCAACTCCTGTTGAAACTCTTAATTTGAAGGCAGACTACAGAGGAAAGATGTTTTTGGCCCTCTGCATCTCTCCTGGTCTCCCCGACAAGCAGTTAAGACATGGGAACAGCTGGCTTTGCTGTAGGCTCTCATTAAATCAAAGTTGGGAAGACTCCCCCTACTGACATTAGCAGTAACAAGTGTGTTATTTAGGGCATAATATTTTACACTCTGTGGTTTGATCCCGGAAATGGTGTCCTTCCTGTGGACCTCATATGTAGCAAATGAACATACTACAAACACACTGCACACAGGTGACTCCAGCTCATTACAAAGCCCACGGGGTCTCAGTCACCACGAGGTCATGGGAGAGGCACCGCCGGCACATGGCGCTCTTCTGAGCGGAGACGAAGGTCCCTCAAACTCCCTGAGCTTGAGTGTCATATGCTTGATTTCAACATGACGCTTCAAGATGAGCAGGCTCAAAATAATATCAAATGTAACTGTTCTGAGAGTCTTTTTTTTTATTTCATGGAGGTTTTTCAGATATTTATTGAGGAAAACTAACCCCCAACATTAAGAAAAACTAAACAAAAGCAAATGTTGACCTATAAGAAAACTTATCTGCTCACAAACGAGACATGAGCTTTAGCTATTGTATAAACAGCGTTCTTCAGTGAATTAAAGATACTCAGTGTACTTCCGTAAGATGGGAACTAAAAGGCTTATTCCCAACAGGCCCCCCCTCGTCACTTAGTCACCTACCACCCAGAAAGCTGCAATAGCGATAGGACTGATCCCTTATGATGCTGGTTGACTATTTTCCTCCAATCCTTTGGGACATTTGTGGACAAATGATCTTTATCCATGACATAGTTTGTAAATTCATGTGTAAACTACAGTAGCCCAACCCATGATTTCTAGGCCTACCCAGCCCATGGAATATAACCACAACTCTCTGGAACGACTAACCTGTGGGAACCCAAAAGTGTGAGCCTATATCACCTTGTCTGAAAGTCAGAGAGTTTTACCTTAGTTTTGTTCTTTTAAAGTTGTTAACAACAGGTATGGCTACAAAACAGATATCCTGACCAAGGGTGTGGTTACTTGGTGTTTTGGACATTAAGATGGTCCACAGAGGTAGATCTGCTCCCTCGTGACCAGTGGTCCGAGAATTCAAGCATACTTCTGCTCCTTCTTTTGAAATAGGAGGTTTGACTTAGGGAGTGACTGCCTGCAGTATACTTGGTAGGATGGTGTTCACTGCCCCAAATATCAAATTCTTTGCTCAGGAATCAATGGCTCAATGTCTCAAGTATTGGAGCAAGTAACTGCTTCTGGTTGTTCTTTGTATCATGTTAAAGCTGTGTGTTGCCTTCTCCCCCACTTTTGTATTGGGGTATAAAAGTGTATGGAAAAGAAATGTGGGTGGAATTCAATATCGAGTATTGGCTGAGTTGCCCTCCCGGTACCATCCTATGTCTCTGTGCTTCTTTCTTATCTCTGTTAACCTTTTATCTAACATTTCTAATCCTCATGCCCCTACCCTGGAATGTACCAACCCACCGTGGCTAGACTGTGTGTGTCAGAAGTTATCCCCAAAAGGTGACTCACAACACCAACCTAAAAGTTGACCTTTGCTAGGCCCTAGTCAATTGACTTCCTTATGTTTTTGCACTGAAACACAAAACCAAAAAAATATATAAAATTATATCCCACATATTACCAAAACTTCCTTTACTTATTGAATTTTTTTTTTAAAAATGAGATTGCAGTTTACTCTATGTTAAATTTGTGATTTCTGCCACCTGTACTCCTTGGCTTCCAGAGGGTAGAGACATTAATTCTGTTTTAAATATAGATGGTTAGCCATCAGTAGTCTTGGAAGGGACTAGGCAATTTGTAAATAGTGTTTTCCTTGTCATAAGGAAACAGATGGCAGAGGGCAGAGCACTAAAACCACAAAATGACATTAATTAAAATGTATAATATTCTCACAAGTCAACGCAGAAATCAAATCCTCTCGGGATCAGTAATAAGCAAAAGATAGAGCCATTGGTAGATGTGAAAGATGGAAAACCTCCATTCTGCCAGAACTCTGTCGGGAAGGGAACTAATTAACGCCAAGGCCTCAAATTCCAGAAAAAAAAATATTATTTTGTAACAACCACCACTAACCTTACTTTAGTCAAAGTCTCTCTATAACTTTATAGACACAAATTATAAACAGTCATATGTACATTTTTTTTGGAGTTGGGAAGTTGGGAGTAGGGACAGAGGAACCCACTAAAACAAACAAATCCTTCCATTCTACCATCTTAGCCACTACTCATGAACCTGACCATAGGCCCCATTTCTGCAACGTACCAGTCAAAACACTGAGACGCCTAATGGAATACTAGCCGAGATTCTCTGGTCTTTTGACTTCAGAATACAACCCTAATATGGCAGTGAGGGTCTCTCCTTCATTCACGATCTCAGAAGCCCCAAGTGTAAGCATTCCTGAAGCCTCATTCCCTTGGTTTTTTTGGTGCTCAAGCAAGCTTGGCTCGGTGTATTTAGTCAATGAGGCACCTGTGAGAGGCCACATTCCTAGTCCCCAAGTAAGTCCTTATAAATGTGATATTTAGCACTGAAAATGTGCTATTCACACCTCAGGCCACTAACAGTCTACCCATCTAGACACAGCAAGTGTGCACCAGCACCATGCTTGACATGGGTAGCTTCTGCCATCGTTCTCAACGTTCCCAACAGGCTTCCGTTAATCCCCCAGTCTCCCATCTCTTTTCCAACATCCCATCCCCTTGAGTGTGGGCTGAGTTTAGTTTCTTGCTCCCAATGAACAAAACACAACAAAAGTTGGGACTTGTCATCTCCATGATTGTGTTCCAAGAGTTGTTGACTTCCTTCTTTCAAAGCAGGTAAAGCAAGGTGCCATATTGTAAGATTCCAAGCGGAGAGGCCTATGCAACACAGACGCTTCCCGTCAGGAAATTGATGATCCTTAGAAAACCAGGATCTGCATGTTGCTAACACTCACGTAAGTGGGCGAGAAAGAGGGTCCTTCTTAGCCTTCTTAGCTGAGCCTCGAACTCACTGCGGTGTTGGGAGCTGAACCTGGATTCCCAACTTTCATCTCTAATTTGGCTGCTTTAGACAAAATAAGACGGGTTGAGCCAACCTATCATTCAAGAATTTACTGATGTACTTTATAAACAAAACCATGTGACCCCACGCTTTCTCAGGACTGAGTTCTGATTGACTGACGAAGGCATGGCAGCACCCCCCACTCAAGGATGGCCATGCCCTTGCTCCACAGAGCCGTTCTTCACTCCCCATTCTGCGCTGTGCCTGGAGACCTGGATTGTTCACTACTTAGACAAACCTGGGAGAGAGGTGATTGTAAAGTGTCTGTTAAAGAAATAGTTGCTCCTACTCTAGCATTTTTTTAAAATGTTTTTCATTTTCCTCCTCATGCCTCAGTTCAATGCCAAATTACTGGGTGAACCTAAGTGAGTTTCGAAATAAAATGTGAACTTGAATGAATTGTAACAGAAAGAGAGAGTGTTTCTCATCAGATGGAGGAAACAGAATAGAAGAGTGAGTTCGAAAAACACCCGAAGTGAAAAAACTTGAAAAGCAACTTCAAAGTCTTCTGATGACCCAAACATGTCTACTAGGGGTCTTCAATGTGCAGCGTCCCATTAAATATAAACATTATGAAAGTTGAGCTGCTCAGACGGTCCTGGGTAATTAAAGA